CGAGGTCAAACATTACTGGGTAAAATCATGTCTAGGTCAAACATTCCTGGATCAAATCATGTCTAGGTCAAACATTCCTGGATCAAATCATTTCGAGGTCGAACATTCCTGGGTCAAATCATGTCTAGGTCAAATATTCCTTGGTCAAATCATTTCGAGGTCGAGCATTTCAGGGTAAAAACATTTTGAAGTCGAACATTCCTGGGTCAAATCATTTCTAGGTCAAACATTCCTGGGTAAAATCATTTCGAAGTCGAACATTCCTGGGTAAAAACATTTCGAGGTCGAACATTCCTTGGTCAAATTATGTCTAGGTCAAACATTCCTTCGTCAAATCATTTCGAGGTCGAGCATTTTCTGGGTCAAGTCATGTCTAGGTCTAATCATGTTTGGGTTAAAATGCAAACAGTCAAGTAATGCAAAGTCAAACAGTCCCTACTCAAATCACGCAAAGCTCAAACAGTCCAAATCAAAACATGCAAATGGCAAACAGTCCCTACTCAAATCACGCAAAGCTCAAACAGTCCAAATCAAAACATGCAAAAGGCAAACAGTCCCTACTCAAATCACGCAAAGCTCAAACAGTTCAAATCAAATCATGCAAAGGTCAAACAGTCCAAATCAAATCATGCAAAAGGCAAACAGTCCCAGCTCAAATCATGAAAAGGTAAAACAGTCAAAATCAAATCATGCAACATATAGTTTCAACCCAAATTATGTAAAAGTCAAACAGTGCCAACTCAAATCATGCACTGGGTCAAACAATCCCAACTCAAATCATGCAAAGGTCAAACAGTCCCAGCTCAAATCATGCAAAGGTTATGCAGTCCCAGCTCGAATCATGAAAAAAGCAAACAGCCCTATAGGTCAAATCATTGTAAGGGTCAAACAGTCCCAACTCGAATAATGCAAAGGTCGAACAGTCCTAGGTCAAATCATGCACGGGGTCAAATAGTCTCAGCTCAAATCATGCAAAGGTCGAACAGTCCTAGGTCAAATCATGCAAAGGTAAAAATATTCTTAGATCAACTCTACCGAGAGCACATTAGGAGGAATAAAGATATGATTTATAAGTTCAGTCGTATTACTCATATATACCACGCACAGTCTGAGTATTTGCTTAGGGTCATCCTGTCTGAGTCCTAAGACTTGATCACAAAATACTGACCCCGACAACGGTCGTTACCGTGGCACCGTGATATAAAACTATTTATTGACATTTTCCATATTTGAAATCGTTTTGTTGTATTGCCAATTTCCCCTTATACTGTATTGTGTTTTAGACAAATATACACTACATTTTTTTGTTTCAGCAGCTGTTAAAGGGTCTACTGTTTTAAATCTCGGGGGGGGGGGGGCTGGAAGATTTGTTTAAGAATAGTAAGCTGGACATCACGGAAAAACGCTGTTGGAAGAAAAAAACGGTTTACACATTCAAGAAAAAATATCCAGATAAGACACCGCGACAAAAATGCACTTGTCACACTCTCGGGCTTACAGCCACCCCCATGATTTCAAATGGTTGAACCCTTATTTGGTCACATCGTTTCATATGACAGGGGAATAACATACATGCAGCATGTCTAACATAATAATATAATATTGCAGACATGTTCATCGGGTAAATTAAAACGATTAGGTCGAAAATTAACAAAGAACTCACAGTTAAATTAGATAAAAATTTGCAAATTATTGTACCAACGTTTTGGAGAGAAAAATATAAGACAAATATGTAGTTTGTGGTTCCGGTCACTAAGACAACTGTTCAATATGGCGGCATCAAATCCAAATATATAGACATCATAATACAAGGCAGCCATTTTGAAATGAACTGTTTACATTATGAACACATAATAGCAGAAGGAAACCGACACAAATTACCAACTTATTCCTTGTTTCGGCTAATTAATAACAATTAGGAAAAAAAGATTACGAACAAAATAGTAGGCATTTTTGGTATTATACAGTTATAATTACGTAATTATTTTGGAATGATGAAATGCGATTGATGAATGAGGTAGTACCCCAAGACACTGCCCAAGAGAACACATTCTCGTCAGTGATATCGTGGAGAAAATATCACAAAGGTTTATATCTCGGCCATTTTCCCTCTTTAAGTATGATGGAAGGCCTCTCGTCGTAGTTATACTGCTGATGAGA